AGTATCTGCAATTGAGAGGATGACAGGGCCTATGGAAGTTGTGGAGATACAACTGATACTTTCTTGCAGATAACAACTCTAGTGATGAGAACATAGACTATAATACGGTTGGTGGAGGTATTCTCTAATTTTCGTTGTTGATTTTCTTTACACTTGAGATTGTGCTTCTTTCTTCAAGAGAAGAAAGAAAGGAATTAAATTAAAAGGCTCAAAAAATGTACCAATTTATACAAGAGAAATCTTACTCGGAGTGGGAACAGATAAAAAAACATTTAGGACATCCACCTTTTGGTAACCCTTAAACATAATAGACAGTCCTAATCAAGTGAGCCTTTGGTGGATGAAAAAGAGGAGCTGTTTGTTTCAAGAGCTCTAGAATGGGTTGCTTTTCAAAGTGACTCAGAAAAGTAAAAGAGGGATGAGAGGGAGAAATTTTTCTTTTGCTTGGTATCTGGGATTCATTTCCAGCCTGAAGTTCCTTCTTAACTGACCCATTGAGCATGGAAGACAATTTGAGAGCAGAATTCCAGAGCATGAGAGACACCTATTTGGATTCATAAAGTTGTCAAGAGTGCCCCAAGCAACTCTCACATGGGGAAGGCAATCTAAGAGCGACCTTTGTTTTCCAGATCAGCTTCTGAAAGAATTGGTATACGGTAATATTAGGCACCTGCAAAAGGGAGAAAAATTTTTTTTAGAGAATTTCTTCCATCCTTTTTCTTTGAGAGGGCATTTTTCTTCCTGGAAATAGCAAAAATACTGGAAAATGTATACTGCAATTCATCATGTCCAATCCAAACATCTTTCCAAAATCTGATCTTCATACCATTACTTATAGACCACCTTGAAAAATTAGATATAGAATTCCCCACCTGTTTTATACTCTTCCATGGACTGAAGCCATGTGTGCTGTGATCCAGAAAGTTGGAATTATGCAAGTCTTCCCCGTACCATTTATGGACGATCAGTTTTCTCCATAGGCTATTTTCTTCGTTCCAAAAACGCCAAGTCCATTTACTTAGTAAAGCTTGGTTAAATTTGATATCCAATCCTCTAGAAGTGATAGGTTTTTTGAGCTCCTCCCATTTGACAAAGTAGATTTTCCTTTTGTTGACCTCATCACCCCAAAGGAAGTGATTTTGTATTGCTTCCAATTTTTTTTGCGATAGTTTTAGGGATGCACAAAACAAAGAGAAAATAAATTGGAAGATTCGATAGAGTACTTTTTATGAGTGTTAATCTACCTCCCTTTGAGAGAAAGTTTCTTTTCCACCCAGCAAGCTTATTCTCAACAGATTCAATAATTGGATCCCAACTTCTTTGATCTTTGTAATGAGCACCGAGAGGCATTCCCAAATATTTGATGGGTGAATTGGCGGTTCTGCAGTTTAAAACCTGAGCCAGAGACTGTCCGTTGCCTTCATTACCAATCTCCACAAGTTCGGATTTATGCAAGTTAATTTTAAGTTCAGAGACAGCTTGAAAGCATAGAAGAATACATCTTAAAGTGAGAAGGGAATTGACGTCCAGTTGACAGAACATAAGGGTGTCGTCGGCAAAGAAGAGATGTGTGATTTCGATTTTTGAGCCGAAATTACCCACTTCAATACCCCTTAGAAGCTGAAGAGTTCTGGCTTTTTCTATAAGTTTGTTTAATCCTTCCATAACAATTATGAATAATAATGGGGATAGTGGGTCACCTTGTCTCAAGCCCCTTGAAGGCTGAAAGAAATTGGAGGGGCCACCATTAACCATAACAGCGAAACTACACGTGGAAATACAAGTTCGAATCCACCTCTGCCATTTTTCACCAAGCCCCATTCTGTCCAACAAATAATCGATAAAATTCCATGAAACATGATCAAATGCTCTTTCCATATTTAATTTGCAAAGGACCCCCTTTTTATTATTTCTGTAGATATCATCTACCACCTCATTAGCAGTTAGAATAACATCGGTAATTTGTCTTCCGGATATAAAAGCCAACTGACTTGCGCCAATGATCTTGTGAAGGCAATTTGATAACCTCTTAGAAAGGACTTTTGAGAGAAGCTTGTAAATACATCCCACTAGGGTTATTGGGCGAAAATCTTTGATATTTTTAGCTCCTGATTTTTTGGGGATCATGACAATGAAAGTGGAGTTCAAAGATCTAACCATGGAGCCATTTTTGTGAAAGTTATTGAAAGAGTCAAGAATATCAGTTTTGAGAACCTCCCAGTAAAGTTGCAGAAATTTAAAATTGAAGCCATCTGGTCTGGGAGCTTTGTCCCCGTTAGATGCTTCTGAATCTGGATATTTTCCAAATATGACTAAATTTTTTGTATTCATTCTCAATGAGGGCTGTTACAGTTCTTCAAGCTTTCAAAGGAATTAAGGCAAGGAGAGCCCCTCTGATATAGCACTATAGATCAGGGATTAGAGATAGGGAAAACTAAAGAAAATAAGAAAGACAACCCAATCTGCAGTAACATGGTTGTCACAACCAGAATCACAAGTTTTTGACAATCAGAATCACAAGGTTGGTATGCACTTAACACAATGAGAGAGAGAGAAATGGATGCTTTTATTTATGCACAATCTGTTTAATAATGATGAAGCACCCATGTATCTCTAGGGTGTTTACATAGTATAATACTTACTAGAGTTCTTAAATAGGAAAACAATAACAAAATAGGATCCGTAACTAAGAACTAAAACCTTAACAAAATATTTAGAAGACTTGTTAAAATATATAATTATAATAACTACAGTTGTTGTTCTATGTAAGTAAAACTATGCTAGATGAATCCTCCATCATTTTCTTCCTCTTCAAAAGGATTCGATTCTGACAAGGAATATAGGATGTAGTAGATAAAAAGATACAGATCCATGATTAGGAACAACTCCTTGCTTGTCCATGTAGTGCTTGGCTTTGGATGATCCTTTTAGTTACAAGGAATTGATAGAAACCTTCATCAAGGTATGTAATATATCCATTAACCAAAGATCTCCATGGTGTTTGCTAGCGGTGATAGCAATGCAGAAGCATTAAGAGCCTGAATATCTGCAAAAGCACTAATCGAAACAGTAAGAGGCTCAAAGATGCTTAGATCAGGAAAGAACCCTCTATATATAAAGCTTGATTAATGTTCATATGACTCGGTAAAACGAAGTAAATAAGTATTAAGTTCGAGCTTTCTCAAAGATGGAAGAAGAGGATTCTTAGCAAGGAAAAGATAACACTTAGGTTCAATGCAAATTGTGATATGTTATTTCAAAAAATGCAAATTGTGATATGGTCACCAATAATAAATTCCTAATCCCCATTGCACAATGCAAATGAATTTGTGATTTGCATTTCTAATTTGTAATTTTACATTTGATCTCGGTATGCAAATAAGGGAACTTTGTACGGCAGTGGATATGGTTGGCTTAGTAAGGGAAGTATAGTAGGAAAAAAAATATGAAATTAATAGGTGTATGTGGTGTCCATGAAGAAAAGAGAAAGTGCATGTTTCTGCAATGGACTGAAGAATAGAATTGTTATAAGCAAACTCAATGATAGTAAAAACAAAAGCCCAGGTGTCATGCATTGGTTTGAAAATGCATCTAACCGGTCACCAAAGTACAAGTGGCTGCCCTATTGAACAGATCATCAACATTGTTCTTAACACTTAAAAAATAATTATGAACAAGAGGATGCTTACTAGAAAACGTGATCCACATATCAGAACTACGATATAATCTTCTCTAAAAAGAAAAATACGTCAAGGTTAAGTGGTTTAAGTATGAGGCAAAGTTCCTAGGAAGGAAGAAAGATCGCCATGGACAAAGGTAATTTATGTTAGCACAAAGTTCCTTATTAGAGGTATGATATCCTTCTCGAACTTTGCATAACCCATAGTTGAAGAATTTACTAGGAGGACTATCTTTACTAACCTCACTTTCTATTCCCACTCCTTAAACATCATAAGAATAATTAAACAAGTTATTGAAATGCACCACTGAAAGATATTTATCACGCAGAGCTAAGATCATATGGTGCTCAAGGTAAGAAACACTCATTTAAGAATTGTGAAAGTCTTAGCCTCCCCCAGAACAATGAAAATCTACTTAAGATGATCTAACTGGTAACCTTAGAATGTTCAGGGATCCCAAGAAAGGTACAAATGGAATGTGCATGATATAGCAATTCTTCATTCATCACTTAGCTTGTGTTCAGAAATTTGAAGAGTATAATTATTCCAAGTAATTCATTTGTGAATTTTTATGTGCATGATCTAACGGGAAGCCTTGGCCATTTGTTGTGGAAGCCCAATTTTAAGCAAAGTAACTTATCACATATATCCTTAAAGGAAAGGTTTGAAACCTAGCCTTGATGGTGATCTTATTAATGGCTTTCCTGTTCACAACGACACTCCTATTTGTTGTTACTCGAATAGTCATTAGGCATCCCCTTAGGCAACTAATTTGATAAGTTATTACATTTGCAGATCATTGGATTCATTTGTTGAATAAATCAACTCCGAATCAAAATTAAACTTACGCCCTGATGGACATGGAGGCTTAAGGTTTGGGAGGGTTTAAAGACATCAAGTCAGAAACTTTGCTCATCCATTGAACACTATTGGATCTAATTTTAGTGCCAACAGATGAATCTAGAGACTTAGGTTTGAGAAGGTCAGAAGACAACATATCATAAAGTTTATTAACTTATTGAGGCTTTTACATTCATGTTTGGGAGAGTCTAGGGCTTTAGGATAAAGGGAAACTTCTTTAGTATCGAAAGGAACAGGGCACTTGCTCTCCCTTTCTTCTTTCTCAAGGTCATTTTGATGCTAAATGAGAGGATCCTTCTTGGTGGTAAGCTGGGGAATGACCTCAAGTTGTTGACTCTTGTCCTTATTAATATGATGCGAGGCTTTAATGACTATTGCTTTTCTGTTGTATTTAAACATATAGCTTACCATTCATAAACAATCCCACCAAAAAATGTGCACTGTAATAGATAAAACATCATATTCTGTTTCCTCCTTATAAATTCCAATCTGAATAGGAACTTTACACCTATGAGTGATTATGAGAGTGGTGTCTTTCAAAAACAACTTTAGAAGGACTTGGATGTGGCTTTATCTTTAGAACCAACTTGGTAACAGAAAACCTAGAAACCATATTAAGGACACAAAGTGCTAGCAAGGATTGATCTGCATCTTTTATCATGCAACCTAAAAGTAGTTAGAGCATGGTAGTGCTTGTCAATTTTTAGTTCCTACTGACTTAGGATAAAGACTTATGACTCGAGGGTTAGTCTCTCTTATTTTTTGAGGTCCAAGAAATTGGACTAACCTATTAGAGGTTCTTTGGGTTTGCTGTATTTGTACTTTTTTTGACACCGGTACCGAATAGCATCTATTCTTGAATTGTGTTTAATCTCAGCTTGGAATTGAGGATACCATTCAATTTCAAATAAAATAAACCACATAGATAAAGAGATTAAGTCAACTACTAATAGCAGTAAAAATTAGGGTAAAAGAATTTAATCATCAACAAATATGTCATGCATGAAAATAACAGAATGAGAATGAAGTAGCATTAATATATCCAAAACAGGCCATGGAGCGAAAGGGGAAGAGCAAGTCCACTGTAAATTGGTCAGAACTGGTTTTAAGGAAATTGAACTGGGTTGGTCAAACTGAGCGAGTCAACCTTCAATGAATCAGTTAGCAGAGAGTTTCACAAATGGAGACTCAAACTTAGTGATTGGTGCATGCAAGTCATGCACAGCCTTCTGGTGGGATTCTTACACTGGTATTTCGGCCAGAGATTTGTCTGGTGGTCCCTGCTTTATCTGGTGTTTGATGCTACTCTTGGTGGTCGGAAAGTGTTGATTTCAGAAGGCAACAACGGTTTGAGGGTGTTGCCTGCAAGTGCGCGATTCTGCCAATATTTGAGGCTGAGATTTACTGAGAATGCTAGGAGGACTTTGTAGAAGCTACTAGTTAGGGCAGTGACATCCAAGTCCCAATGATGGCTGGAGATTGGGTTGATGCCTAGAGTTGCTCCTGATGTTGTTTTCTCTCTCCTGCTATTTGATCTCAGTTTTTTTTAGGTTTTAGGTTTTTAGAAAATTTGGTGATTTGTGGTATGAAATTGTGATACCAAAGGCAATAATTTAATTCTGATATTAAATAGATGTAGCATAGTAGATTAATGTTTAAAAATAGGAAACACTAAAGAAAATAAGAAAGATAAAATCCAATACACAATCAGAAGGATTGTTAAGTACCGTAATAATGGGGTTTTTAGAGACTCAATTCAATGAGAAAAATCAATAATTTCTATTTAATAATAATAGTCCTCCACCCAAACCTCAAAACTCCGTACCTAACTAGACCCAATCCATTTAAATCCCCAGGGAAAAAAAAGTCAAAATCACACATAGAGAGAACTCTAAAACCATGGCCAATCCATTTACCAACCACCACCAGGCAGTGAGACACTGCCACTACCATTAGCCTTGTAAGACCCTAATGGGAAAAACCCTGAAGCCTTGTGATGGAAAACACGCCACTTGCAACCATAAGTTCTCCTAAACACTGACTCTCTCAATTTTGTCCTTTTCTGCAGTCATCCCACGCCGCTACTCGATCTTCAACCATGGTAGCGAACCGATCTGATTGTTGGAACCTTGACTTGGTTTGTGACCAGATATGTCAATAAGTGTTGAAAAATTGTTCTTTGTTTTTACTTTTTAAACTGGGTTTGGTCAAATAGGTCCCCCTAGACTGCTTTAACCCCTTATAGACTAGTTTTTGGTAGTGCATAACAATTCCCAAAAACTAACTTTTCTTATTTTCAAATCATCTTCACAAAAGTTTTTGTAATGAGAAAATTTTGAACTTGTGAAATTCTATAGTGAGGGAACAAGTCATCACTCAAAGAATGTGAATGGACAAGTCTTTCTTGGTTATAGTCAAGCACAACCAAGTAGTTAAAGTGAAGGAAGATTGGAAGCATTCTCCAATTTTTCAAACTCCAGTCCGTTGAAGAAATAAAATTAAGAAATTTATCATTCATGAAGATTGTTGCAAGAACTTATTTAAATCTCTGTAGATGAGCGACTCAATCTTTTAAGGCAACCGCATTCGCAACCTTACAAACTAGCTTGGATAGATAATTTGAACATTTTGGTAATTTAAGTTCTACTTATCATGGTAACTACAAGGATTCAATCTTGTCTGACATGGTTCTTATAATTTACACATTTTCTTCTATGTTGACATTGACTTTATGATTGACATGTTTAGCATGATTAGACTGCCAATATTTTTCATATTATGTTTGGAATAAAGAATTTTTAGAACCTATGATGATATGAGTAAATACAAACATCCAAAAGCACTCAAAACCAATGAAAAAGACAAAAAAGGAGCTTGTTGAAGTTGTGAAACGGGGAGAACTGTCATGTCTTCCTAAGAGTAAAGATTTTAAGATTATGCAAGACCTTTCACGAGGAGAGTTCTAGAGAGTTTCAATGCAAGGAGGAAACTATTGGGTCTAGTTATGTTAAACTCAAAGATGAAGTTCAAGTGCGAGTTGGTCCGTATGTCCATTTCGTCCCACCACTAAGTTTTCATACTCTTAAACAATTATATGTTTCCATTATGTTTGCTTTTGAAGAGAATAATAGAGAACAAAGTTCGTTAAATTTTTACGGGGAAACTTGAAAATCAATATTTACATCATTTGCTATCCTAAAATTCATGGACGAGTTTTCTCCAAGGGATAATGATGCGAAATGTATTATGTTTAGGATGTCTAAATAGTTTAGGAATTATAATTCTTTAGATATAAACTATTTTACTATTTAGGAGTATACCATTACAATCTTAGTAACTTCAGGATTTTATTTGATTTTAGTATTTAGTTTTTTTATTTGTATTAGTAGTATTTTTCTTAAGTTTGTTAGTATTAATTGTCTACTTCTGTAGGAAAATGTTACTTAAGAAGTATTATAAATATTTTTGTAAAGTTACTTTTTGAAACAGAATTCAGTTATATAATAAAGTACTTCTAAGAGTTTTTCAAATTTCTGGTTCTGTGATGCAATCAAAATTTTAAATATGATGCTTAAAACTTGCTTGAGACATTTTAGATATAATATTTAAGTAACTTTAGGTGTAATGTCTAGTTATTTATTTTCAAAGTGCTAAGTAGACAAATTAGCTCTAATTTATCCTACATCATGGAGCCAATAATGTATTTGTGTGCTTATGTGTAATTTTTCCTTTCTAAACAGATAGACCAAGGAATATGAGTGACTTGTTGCAGGTTAAGAATGATGGTGGCTTTTACCAAAAGGTATGATTCTAAACAATTGGCCTGATTCATTAATTTTTTCTTTCTTTTTTGTGAATGAAGAAATATTTTTAGGGAGATAAGGAAAAAAGTAGATCTGTGGAGGATAAGAGATTCCCTAAGAAACAGAGAAAAGGGAAAAATAATAAAGAGAAAAAGAAAGAACAAAGATTAATATGGATTCACAGTCAATTTCTTTGCACAGTAGTCAAGGGGATCTCTAAATTACCCATGTGACTGCAGTGAGGCTAGAATAACCGTCCTGTCCCAAATAAGAGATTTGAGTGAAAACCAGTCTTTAAAGAGTTTAACATTGATATTATGTGCAATGTGTAGGATTTACTTATTTATTGTTGTCTTTATGGTTCAACTTGAACTCCCAACATTTGTCTCTTTACAGGATTGGTGGAATGATCTTCTCCAAAAAAATAATTATAAGGAACCTGATTATAGTGGCAAAATGGTTTTGCTGCTTGACATTCTGACAATGAGTTCTGATGTTGGTGATAAAGCATTGGTTTTTAGCCAGAGTATTCCGACATTGGACCTGATAGAGTTTTATCTTTCAAAGCTACCTCAACGTAGTAAGCCAGGGAAATTCTGGAAAAAAGGAAAAGACTGGTATAGGTGCGTATTCATTTCATTGCAGGCTATTTGGAGTTGATAGCGGGGTTAAGTGTTGTTGGTCTCTTGGATTTATCATTCCTACATATCTGCACAATCTTCCTTTCTATACTGCCTTATGCATTAAAACATGTTGCAGCTGTGTACATTTCAGACTCTAAGTTTCCACTGAATTTGGTTAATGAAATTGAGCTATTTAGCTTTTTGCGCATGGAAGGAGAACCAAGAGTTTCCAGAGCCTAGAGGAATGAATCAGTAGAAGCCTTAGGTACGGAGACTACAGAATGGAAACCTTAAT